GCAGTTTGTAAAGTGCAGTATTAAGATCTTACAATGGGTGGTTGTCAACTCGAAAGTTTTAACCATCTCGACAACCACACACACCATACATTAGCTCTTTCTCTTATAATTAATTTAGTTTCACCTTTCTTTTCATTATTCATTAATATTACTCCTGTGAACATTTGTATATATTTATGTGTGTGTGAATCAATAAAAATGTTCAAAATGTTCAAAGTTTGCACGTACCTTTGTTCGTTCATTTTATACCAATGTCAGGAGACCGAGGTTTTTTTGCATAATTGTCAGTTGCAAATGAACAAAGTTATTTCAACTTTAAGCAGACCTTGTACGACTTATCCTGCTCTGGTCCTCCTCAAACGAAACATAACTAGACCTTTAGAAAAAGATAAATGTGTTAGTTTGAGTCCGTTGTAAAAATGCTGCCAAATGCAAACTGTGTGTTACAGTTAAAACGGCTAGATTCCATTAACGGTTTCATTATTCGAATATTGAAATGTATTATTCTTTCCGAGAGTACAAAGACTCGGGATTCGAAATGATAACCCACAGGCTTACCACCCTAGGTATTTGTGGGTCTTTGGATACCTGTTGTTTATAGTTTCTTTGGTTTGGGATCCCTGTGGCGCATATATTGGCCGTTGATCAATGTAGTTTGAAATATGCTCCTGAAATCTGTCCGTTGTAGTCAGTCTTCAAACACTTTTTATCTCAACATAAAGATTAATAGCTTATTACCTGTTTTGAAGTGTTTTTTCGGCGAAAAAGCCTCGAAAAACGCTTGTTTGGGTCTTTCATAAGTTCAGCGGTTGGTTTGACTCGCTCTCCCTAGTGAAGAATTAGTGAATTATTTTATTCAATGAATTTTGGCTAAAACGTTTAATTTCTGTGGATAATTTTACAAAATAATGGAGTTTTTATCCGAAAATATATGGATTCGGCAACCAGAATGTATTGTAAAAGTCCAAGTTCAACTCGTCGAGACCTAGAAAACTGATATCAAAACATGAATACTTCAAAAAGTGCTGCTTTGTCTAGTTTCGGCGAAACATGATTACATAAACGATTGTATGTAATATTGCTGCCCAGATGCTTCTAAGTATTGTTAGCAATCTCATATCCACACATTCGTAACCGAAAAATTTCTTTTAAAACTTTACTGTCGAAATTTACGGTAATCGAATTTCAGTACAGCCGAAGTAAGAATCTTTATTTTCATTATTCCTGTGTATCGATCCGCCATCAAAGAACCGTCCACCTTGTTTGATCGTACGTCTTTAGGGAAATCATATTTTATCATGGGCAAGCAACATTTATACACGTTAAACTAAATTAAATAAATCGGTATTACAATAATACGAGTTGGAGTCACGACAATTTCAAACTAGTATTAAATTTTTTGATATTTTAAGAAATTTCTTATACAATTCTGATTAGAAAAACAGAGTTCCTACCTTCGCCTGAATTGATATCATTTTTAAAAAGGTAAATCCATCAAAATTGAGCAGCATAAAACGTGATGACTTCAAAGCCATTCATTTTTCTTCGAAAAACCCGAGCGAGACGCAATGATTTTGAAACCATTGACTGTGAATGCTTGATCAAAGTACTCGTGATAAACGAGGGACTTTTCCCGTGACCTCCGTGACGTAATTGCTATTGTTCCCTAACCCTGGGGCTCAAATGCAAAGCAACATCTTTTTCCGGCTCATAGCTATCAGTCTATATTTCCATAAAGAAATCATCCCTTTTCGCATCAATGCATCTAAAACTGTCAGCTAGTCTTTTGAGATGAGTCTTTTACCTTTTACCTAGATTTTGAAAGTAAGATACGCTTAGAAAGCCGTAACGATATAAACATAGTGCGAGTGAAGAAAGCGGTCGCATATTTAGAATTAGGATACAAATGTTTACGGAATTGAGAATATTATTTGATCGCTTTAAATTATTTCAATGAACTTGAAACTTTAGGGTATATAAATGCGTTATCTAAAGTAACTGACTTGGAAGTTAAAAAAAAATTCATCATCGGATTATTGAGTTTGAC